GCCATGGCCCATCATAGCACTGAGCTGTTGAAGCAAATTCCCACCGCCACCCCCGAGTCCCAACAATTGGAAAAGCTGAGAGAGTAGTTTGAGAATCTCACCTGCTTGTTGCAAATTGAAGCCATTTGCTTGGTTATTGCTTTGTTTCTGTTTCCTTTTGCGAGCTGTTGCTCTGCTTCCTGCACCATTGCCATGCATGGCATGCATCAATGCGTTCCGCTCTTTTGAAGACACAGCCCAAATCTTCTGAAGCAAATCGAAACTTGCAAGCACCACATCTGAACAATTCGTTTCTAAGCACTGCCAAGGCCCATCAGCAATGCATAGACCCGCAGCCACCGCGCGGAGGTTGTCCAGATAGCTGCCGAAAGGCGTTCCTTGTTGTTGTTGTAAGCGGACGTCAACCTGCTCCTCACCGAAGTGAAGTAGTTAAGACGCCATAGTATGCCATCTGCGAGAATCAAGTTCCCATACTTCTCCAAGCAAAACTCAAAGGAAGCGAAACCTGCCTGAAAAAAAGAAGTAAACACAGTGCGCCAGCTAGCATTCCGCAAGGAATGTTTGTTGATCAAGTACGACTTGCCAAAAAGGTAAAGTCCGTAGCCTCTGCAGACGCCAAACTGCTGCAGCCCAAGCCACGGCTCGCTGATGTCGCTGCACAGCCGCAGCGATCATGGAGCGTGAGTCACGCAACACCTCACCTGCCTGAGCATCGGCTGTCGCATTGAGAACGCGGCAGAGATGAACATCAATCCAACCATCTGGTGGTGTCCAGTCAGGCACCTTGTTGTGAGAAGGGATCCAAGTGCAAACAGTGCCCTGAATCAATAAGCCGCTGATCCGCTGCCAGAAAAGCGGCAAGTCACCCTCCCAACGGCCAGTGCTAATGCCTCGCTGAAGCCGCCGCACCAAAGCCTGATTGTCAATCAAGAGCATCACCGGTCTGTTAGCTGCAGAAGAGGCTAAACAAGCTTGCAGAAGAGCAGCAGGCTCACCTGCAGCAGGTGTTTGCTCAAAACCAGTCACGGCACCTTGAACAGTGGTGCCTGAAAGTGTCGAAACCGCCCAGCTAGCTCTTTGCCATCGATCACAGGAAGTAGCTATGATACAACTGCCGTCCAAGCCCAAGGTGGGTCGCTGAAGAGGATCGAATTGCTGAATAAAAGTAACCAAGAGAACTCCTTCAGACATCTGCATAGCCTTGTAGAATGAAGTGCTACGTGGATTGCTTTTGATGTCCTCCTCGACACAATGCTGGTTGTTAGCATATGCACAAACCCAATAGGGTGTGCCGCCGGACAATTCTCGCACCAAAGCATGCTGCTCCAAGCATGCCAGAAATTTGCAAACAGGTTCCTGGCTGAACTGCCCAACTAAAGTAGACACGCATTAAACTAAGAGACTGACTTTGTTTTTTCCCCAATCAGTGTGGTCACACCATGGGGCTCTTACTGTAACGATCTTAAGGCTGTGAAGATCTTGTAGGAGTTCTTATCAGAAGGTTTTCTCGGCACATGTTCTCTTGTTTGAACTTGTTTGGTGTCTCTTGCCGGGATAAAAATGACAGACTAAACTAAATCATATTAAGTCCCAGTAGCCGGGTGCCCCCCAACTGTCTCCAAAGTTTGCAACAAATTGCCAAGGTTCGATCCAAGCATGGGAAACAAACCAGCGGGGCCTCTGGGCTTGAACTGCCATGACCTCCACCAAGCTGCACCCCTTTTTCTCATAGCCTTCCGTAGCTGGCTTTATGATCCAGTAGTTTGCATGATACAAATTAAAGGTATCAAGCTGCAGCTTTTTCCCACGATGTTCTCCGAATGTTTCGCACCATCTATCTGCCATCTTCGAGATGAAAACGACAAGCCTTGCCAATTGCTCTCGGGTGATACCGCGCTCTGCAGTGTCTTGGATGGAAAAAGCCTCCTTGGGGGCTTATTGTTTGGGAAATCATGGAGCGAAAGAAAAAACAGCTTTCAACTGAGTCCCAACCGCTCCACGTTGAGAAGATAATCAAGAGTTGTTAAAAACTTGGAAACACAACATATACAGTGTACAAGGAGTATTCATCGTGTCAAACGATCTCAATCTTCGGGATGTCCTTTTCAAATGGAAGCAGGTCCTTCTACTGGTAAGCAACCTTTGTTTTAAATCTTATCTGAAGCGTTAAAAACAATAATGGCTCTGATGGCTGGGGTTTGCCTCATGATGTTAGATGTTGGAGTATTCTGCAAAGGCAAATGCTCACAGCGGTCCATTTATTTTAGGCCTTGGAATGCAAAATCCGTGTCTCCTTGTTGCTGATCTCAGAGTAGTTTGTGAAGACCAGATTGCTGTGATGGGCTGCCTCCACAATGTCATCGCACTGTAGTTGGCAAATCCCACTTGAAAGCAACTTGTTGCCATGCCATGGACAATCTGGCAAACGCTCACGAAGCAAATAGATAATATCACCAGCGGTGCTTGAAGCAGTCAATGCCACTTCCAAGAGACCGTATAGAGGAACATCCACAGAAACCAACATGAAACAGCGAACCCTTTGCCCTGTCCAGCGCCGCGAGTCTATTGCCGTAGGAAAGAAGTATACACAGTCACATTCATGTCATGCAAAGATTCATCAACAACTTCCTTTCAATTGTGCTGTATTTCATTGTATCTGTATCTGTCAAGGTGCTTGATTGGCGAAGGGTTCAAGAATAAACCTCCAGACTGCAAAGCGGCACTTAGAAGTCCGTCTTGAAAAAAGCGGGGCACGCACCAACACTCAAAATGACTGAGTCTAAGTCAATACCTCACCAACATTCAAAGCTGCAAGTAAATCTGGCAAAAAAAACAGGCAAACAACCACCACACTTCACAAAAGCCTTCAAAGGAAAACCACATTGACATGCACACGGCTATATTCTCGGCATGTGTATCATGGACAACTGGTCAGCGCATGAGAATCTCGCATCTGACATCTTGAATGCTTGGTTTCCTTGCCATTCCACGACTGCAGAGTTGGCAACGGTTCTCGGGTCTTTCAATGTCTCGCGCCTGCAAGCATTCACAAGTACAGTAGATCCATGGTTTTTGACAGATATGCCTCACATGCAGAAAATGTCAGCCATGTCACAGCGGAAGTTTGATCCAGTCTTGGTGAAAAGCTCCAACGATACCAACGCCGGCAGTTGCGTATGGCAGAAGTCTGAAGTTCCACAATAGGATGCCGGAATTATGTCATAGGTGTGCATTCCACCGATCGTCTTGTTCTTCAGAAGGGATGAAGATACAGATATATAAGGATATGACATAGACTGGCAAGATCTGTATCCTACATCTTATGTATCTCTATGTTGTATGTATATATATATATATACATTATATTACAGAATTATTGTACTAATCTATTATATATATATATGTAACAATTTGGTATCAGTCAGATCCGGATTCAGAAGCTGGACGTGCCTCATCACGCCTGTGGACAAGGCTCAGCCTCTTGTCTCATTACTTCAATCATTGCCAGTGTCTCGTTGATTGTCTTCCATATCAAGATAGCTCAACACTCAACTAGTCAACTTAGCTGGAGCCATCAAATGGGGCCACCGTTCTTTCCGGAGCGAGAGAGCTATAGTTTCATATGTTTCATTCCGAGGTAAACACACCCTTCACGTGTTGTGACTGTGATGCCTTCACTGTTTTGCTTCTTGCGTCTCCTTGAGAAACCAATGCTGCAGGACTTGTGCAAAGTGCTGTTGGAAGGGCAGTTCTTGCCCAGTTTAGACCACCGTCTTGGAACTCCAAACTGCTTAACCGCACCTGCTGATCCCTAGCATGCATATATCTTCTCGTCGATTCTTTCACGTCTGCTGTGCTAAGCCAAGCTGCTAGAGATGATATGTACAGAAAAAAACTAGCAGCTTCCAGCAATGAAACCACTCTGGAGCTGTGGCTCCAAAGCACATCCGCAGCCAACTGTATCCATATTGTGGTCGACGGCGCGTTCCGACCCAACGCCAAATCATGTCAGATACATTCTAGATCTCATTTCAACAAGTATCCTAAAAGCAAACATGTCAGGAAGGGAGTAGCCGAAGTAACCCCAAAAGGAATAGGGTACTGAGCAGCTACTGGGATGTCTCCGGCCAGATCAGTCGTTGGTCTCATCCAGGTTCCTGTGCAAGTGGTTCCGTGTCACACGGCTGAAGCACCCTTTGCGTTTGCTTGTTCCACACTAACCCGTCACACTTTGTCAAGTGATACGTCCTAATTTACAAGCATAGAACTACTACTGTAGCTATGTACTCACTGGCAGTCGATCTATTTGAGACTATGGATAAACCATGATACACCACAGGAGAATAAATGCATATCAGTCTCCAAACAACACGTTCCAAATGTATCTGTTTTTCAGCTTCGCAAATCTACCTATGTAGTTTCAGTCCTCAAGTCCATAGCGGATGTGCTGGCATAGAAGCAAGAGCCGATCGCCTGTTCATCTTAACAGCGTGGTAATTGTCAACCCTCTGAAGAACTGTTCTAGTCCCAATGGCCAATGAAGTTCAAACTGACAGGTTCTTCGATGTTGTTTCTACATATTTCTACATGTTTCTACATGTTTCCACCTCTTGCAACCCCAACTCCTGGCAGTGCCTGGCCGATGGAAACCAACAGAGAAAGCACCACCAGGAAGTTCACCTCTGCGGCAAAATTTACCGTGCAACCCCCAGGCTGTGGAAAATGCTGAGACAACGAGCAAAAATTGAGATACAACAATATATATATATAATTATATATATATATACACACACGTAATCTATAGTAACTATATATACAAGTGTTACTACAGTACGGGCGAATGCAGAACCAACCAAAATTGGACATGACATGAAGCAGCAAAAAAGCAGCTTCTGTGTGTATTTTCGGACTCGCATACCCTACTGGTATCTTTCGGATGCAACAAGCCTCCCGGTTGGAGCTCCATGGTTTTTATCAAATTAGAACATTGGGTGGCAACATCATGTCCCAAAGCAATCTCTTGAGAAGCTCAACGACACCTGGCAGTCCATGATGAAGAAGAATTTCAGACTGCACTGCACCTGGGGTTGGATGCCAAAACTCGGCGGACATCTATGGACATGGAGATCCATGAAATAGTGCAGGGTTAGGACCGGTTGGGATTTGGGGGCCAAATTGCGGTTCGTCTGAATAGGAACGCCAACCTGCCGTTGATGCAAAGAAGGTGGAAGAAAAGCTCAGCTTCCAGCGACATCCTCACAAAAACAGCGAGAAAAAGAAGCGATGGAGATAGTGAATTCCTGTCAGCCGATCCACTGCCGAATCAATCTGTTTGGAATCACGGGCAAACTCTGGCTAATTTCTCCATGGCTTCAACTAGACTGAGAGTTTCTGCATTTCTGAAGTTGGAGCTGGTGGTCTTCCTTCGTTTCGGTGAACTGACCGAGCCTGCGTCTCTTGACAGCTGATCGGCACGTAATGCCTCCGAAGTACCTAGAGCAAAGGGCGCTGCCATTCTGTGAATCAGCAATCTGCACATCTAAGCGGAGCACCAGGTGTAGCAATGAGAGGTCGTTGAGGTGGGCAAAGTTTGCAGCTTTGATCGTATTCACCTCAGAAGTTGGGCTGCAATCGCAAATGCTCTGCTTGGCCAACCCTTTGCTTGTCACTGGGTGCTTCCTGCTGGTGTGGCGCGGCCCAATCGAAGATCTTGAGAGTCCTGGCCATGCGGTGGGAATGGTACAACAATACATGGCCATCTACGAATCATATGTGCATATCGGTTAGGCTCATCCATCCCTCAATGGGATTCAATGGGAATCCTTCTACTGGTTATCGTATAGAGCTAGCATTAAGTACCCATGAATATTTGTGAATTATCCAAATTTTGACCATTGCAAATATACCATCACGAAGAAGATGATGGCGGAAGTGTAGGCCCTTTAAAGCAAGGTATTAACGCACATCAAGGACGCAGAAGCACCTCTTGCATGTGCAAAGGGCTAACCCATTGGCCATACAGATTCAAAAATGGTCATGCAGATTAGTGTCAGCCTATCGGGTTGGGAATTGCGGGATGAAGCAGCAAGCCAACGCTGGTCAAATCCCACCCCTTCTCAGATTCCAAAGTATATACTGGGACGACTTCTTTAAATCTGATGACGCTCCCCGCAAGGGAATCCCCAATTGGCATCAATTGGCTACATTCTGCTACATTGAGATAGATTTTAAATGATCTAGCATACTGTCTAATTGAGCCTGCTCTAATTGAACTCTATATATATATATATATGTCCTACTATATCCTACTGTTTTAATTGAGACTGTTCCAGGAAACCAAGATCATTCTGTCCATCTCGAGCGCCCAAAAGCCGCCCAGTCTGGCCTCATCCTCCCGATGCGCAGGCGGCCGGGCTGCAATGGGCGTACCCTCCATCCTTGGTCACATCTCAGAATGATCTCGTTTCGAGATGTCCATGCTCTGTGTATTTTGTAGCAATGTGGCCATGTCCTAAACCAGGACAAGAAATGACTAAGCAATGGATGACAAATATAAGAAGTGTATCGGTGAGGGAGTATGCCTCATTTCTTCTAAGCCTTTCAAAACGAGAAAACAAGTATCTGCCGTTCACCCAATGTTTCTTTTCTGGTCTAGGCCGCTGTTTATCCTCTGCCTCCGGCCATTGACGCTTTCAGTACCAAAAGTGGAAACTTGTCGTTCAAACCCATTTGAGCCAACTGCTGGCTTCTCAAATCAACGCAGCTAAAAGGCAAACTGAAGTGGGTCAAACAATCGCGAAGGCCCAGACGTACTTGCACCATAAAATACAACTCTTGTCACGAGTGACGGAATTTGCCTTGACACTCATCACTATGAATCAGTGGAATATTCTCACCATGTCCTAATCACAGAGTCCAGAAAAAGCTGTTCCACGCACTTCCTCACTTCGTCACAATAACATCCAAGGGTACACATGAAGCAACTATCTTCAGGCAAATCAAGACATGTGCTGCGACAACGGCAAATTTTAGGTTAGGACCCTCATCACGGGTAACGGATTCTTGGTGGACGCTCAGCACCGTGAATCAGTGGAATATTCTCACCATGTCCTAATCACAGAGTCCAGAAAAAGCTGTTCCATGCACTTCCTCCCTTCGTCACAATAACATCCAAGGGCACACATGAAGCAACTATCTTCAAGCAAATCAAGACATGTGCTGCGACAACGGCAAATTTTAGGTTAGGACCCTCATCACGGGTAACGGATTCTTGGTGGACGCTCAGCACCGTGAATCAGTGGAATATTCTCACCATGTCCTAATCACAGAGTCCAGAAAAAGCTGTTCCACGCACTTCCTCACTTCGTCACAATAACATCCAAGGGCACACATGAAGCAACTATCTTCAGGCAAATCAAGACATGTGCTGCGACAACGGCAAATTTTAGGCTAGGACCCTCATCACGGGTAACGGATTCTTGGTGGACGCTCAGCACCCTGAATCAGTGGAATATTCTCACCATGTCCTAATCACAGAGTCCAGAAAAAGCTGTTCCATGCACTTCCTCCCTTCGTCACAATAACATCCAAGGGCACACATGAAGCAACTATCTTCAGGCAAATCAAGACATGTGCTGCGACAACGGCAAATTTTAGGTTAGGACCCTCATCACGGGTAACGGATTCTTGGTGGACGCTCAGCACTGTGAATCAGTGGAATATTCTCACCATGTCCTAATCACAGAGTCCAGAAAAAGCTGTTCCACGCACTTCCTCCCTTCGTCACAATAGCATCCAAGGGCACACATGAAGCAACTATCTTCAGGCAAATCAAGACATGTGCTGCGACAACGGCAAATTTTAGGTTAGGACCCTCATCACGGGTAACGGATTCTTGGTGGACGCTCAGCACCCTGAATCAGTGGAATATTCTCACCATGTCCTAATCACAGAGTCCAGAAAAAGCTGTTCCATGCACTTCCTCCCTTCGTCACAATAACATCCAAGGGCACACATGAAGCAACTATCTTCAAGCAAATCAAGACATGTGCTGCGACAACGGCAAATTTTAGGTTAGGACCCTCATCACGGGTAACGGATTCTTGGTGGACGCTCAGCACCGTGAATCAGTGGAATATTCTCACCATGTCCTAATCACAGAGTCCAGAAAAAGCTGTTCCATGCACTTCCTCCCTTCGTCACAATAACATCCAAGGGCACACATGAAGCAACTATCTTCAGGCAAATCAAGACGTGTTCTGCGACAACGGCAAATTTTAGATTGGGACCGTCATCACAAGTAGTAATAGTTGGATTCTTGGTGGACACTCATTTCTATGAATCATCGGTAATTATATTGTAACCACATTCTAATTGCAGAGTTCAGTTGACTGTCTGTGCAAACCGATTTTTCTGTTTCTCTTTTTCCAATTGCTTCCGAAAGACTCCTGTGCAACAGACGCACTGTCAAAGTCCAACATTGTAATTTACTTGGCAACCAAGGTTGTAGTCGTCCCATGTTTCATTCTTATCCGCTTTTCAAAGGAGTACCCTGGTTTTGACCCGTATAGTTGTCATGCCAAGTCATGCCCGTCTGGATGTTTGATCACTTGTAGCTGCAGCGCTGCAGTCAAGAATCAGGCCACTGGAGTCCCGGCCCTTGAAGAAGAGGTCGGGCTTGTCATAGGAAACTGCGATGGAGCATGGGTTCGAGTGACTCTGCAAAATGTGTCTGCAGACCATTCCAAATGGCCCATGTTGAAACAAGAAGAGCCGTGGATGCATACATAATCATACTATATCATACTACCAGTACTTCGAACTTCCAGAAATGCTTCAGTCCAACATAGTCCAATGTGTCCAATAACCCAGGAAACCAGCCAGGTCGCGCACAATGATCTCGGCTGCAAAACATACCAATCAAAAGTCGCAGCTGAACCTTGTGCAGACGCAAGGTGTCCAAACTGCTGCTGAATGGCGCGAACATGCTTGAACTGGGTACTCAACAGCGAAGACAAAGATGCCAATCGAAAATATGAAGGTGCTGGCCTGAGAATCTCAGGAGTACGTTGATCTGTAGGGATATGTGAACATGTGTGAACACACTTCGAAGACATGAAGCAGTGTTGTCCGATGGTGACTTCGCTCTGACTGTGAATCCATCAATCAAAGGAAGTCTGACCGTCGATTGAATGTAAGGCAATGAGGACTTTTTGTTGACCATGGCAAAGTGGCTAAAGCATTTCCATAGGAGGCAAACTAATAAAACAGTGCGTAAATGTCCAAAGTCAAGCTCGAACAAAAAGCCATGAGTAGTAATCCAAGCTTTGGGCCGAGAGCAAGAACAGCAACTTCGACCTTGCAGCTGAAACAGGATTTGGTGCGATGGGGGAAATACTGACATTGCTGCTGTCAACTGTGAAGTTCCAGACAATCAGCTTAACTCAAAGACAACTGACAAATGTTCTCCAAAAGAGCAGTCAACTTTGGACAACAAAGTCAGCAAAGGCCAGTAAGGCTTACAGTAAGGAACTCAGTAAGGATCGGGCCCGCGTTTCATCAACGGCAGGCAAAGAATATCCAGAAGCAACGAGCACCGAGCACCGGCCTCAAGCCCGCCCAACTGCCCAAGTCCCTTCGAATTGGCAGACCATTCTGGTCGCTTCCCCCGTTGCCTCTATAGTTTCAGATGTAGAGGCCCAAGACACTGCAAAAAATCACCACTTTTTTTGAAAAGGGACTCAATAAATCATTCCGGCGCAACTCACCCAACAGAATTCAATACCTGCAGGGCATCCGAGAACTTCAGCAAGGATGCCGAGGCCCTGTCCCCAGCCAACCACGCGAGCATGTCCCAACTGGTGAGGCCACTACTGCGCGTCGCAGAGATGCCATAGATTGCTATGTATGACAGCTATGACAGATTGGAACAGGCCCAGTGGTATGAAGAGTGAATAGATTGAATAGATAACACCCTAGAATTTGTAACATGAACAACCAAAGACTCGTGTAACTCCAACCCCAATGGACATGCAGGATCATGCAGGTGTAAGGTGTAACCATCTCAATGCCAAGCCCAGTCCTCCGCACATCTCCGAGCCGCACAGGTTGCGTCAAACAGACAGCAGCCTGGGTTCAACATCTGGCGTCGAGACAGGGCCTCGACAGGCTATGTATCTATGTATCCATGTATGTATCTATGTATGTATCCATGTATGCATGCATGCATGTATGTATGTATGCATGCTGTGAATATCTATTAATAGATATTGATAGATATTAATAGACTTTAATAGATATTAATATTAATACATCATATAATTATATATTGGGGTCAGCGCCCCCACGAATGCCTTTTTTGTAGCATGTATTGTGAGCATCAAATCCATGTCTCATAGCTACGAATATGCTAGTCCAGCAACCAACAGTGGAAAAAACAGTGAAAAATAACATAGAGTAAATAAATGCATTGCATACTACTGTTTCCACGGATAACTCTAAATTAGGAAAATGGAGGTCAAAATTAAGCGACTACATTTACATTTCTTTGAAACAATTGCAAGATCAAACACATGTTTAAAGAATCACAATAATATCAAGTTGACCTTCCTCCACTCCTCCTACATACTTTGATAGAAAACTTAAAAACCTGGAAAAGATTGAAACAACCTTGGCTTCCGTACTTCTTCCGTCTGATTTACCACTGTGTTTGCATCCATGGTGCTGAAGCTGTGCAGAATGTGATATGACTTATTTCATGGTCCATGAGCAGAATATGACACAATTATATAGATTCCGTGTCGGTGATCCTTACTTTGTACTGCAAACAAGAAGTTTCAAACTGCTAGTTGCAGCAAGTAAGTCCGTAGACAGAAATATGCTGGGAAAAGCCTGCGCGCCAGAGACTTATAAACGTTCAACAAATTAAGTTTATAGTATACTGTGGATCAATACGATGGGAAAAATACCGTCATAGTATTCTTTATTTTCTAGGCTTATAGGCCCCGGTAGGGACGGTCAGCACACACACACATATATATATATATTATATATATATATGTATATATATATATATATATCAGTGTGGATCTGGAACCGAACCGCGAACCGCGAAACGAACCGGAAACATAGGAATCGAACCGGAACCGTTCATATTCACGAACCGAACCAAACCGGTGGGGAACCGAACCGTTTGGGCGCGAACCGCAAACACGAACCAGTTGCAAACCGGTTGAAAACCGAAGGCATCTGCCTATTTTCCATTCACTCTTCCACGGGCAAAGAACCCGAGTTCGTCCGGTGATGTTCCTTGCCACATTTGCATGTGCAAAAATCAATTTGGCTGCTGAAGAGAAAGGAGGGGAAAACGGAGAGAGCAGATAGTAACGGTCTAGATATTTTAGGCTTAGCCTCCAAAATCAAGGCAAGGCATGGAATTGCTTCCATGTCCGGGCCTTTCAATTTTAAAGTTCGTGTGCAGCTTGGCAAACTGCACACCCCCAGAGAACACCGTTTGCTTTTTCCACGCCCTGGAAAAAGCAAATCCGCCTACATGGGGATTTGTTTTTAGAGCCTAAAAAAGCAAAAACATCAACGGGGTTTGCCGCCAACGCCAGGGGAGCAAGATGTTTAGGCAGCATTTTTCGACATTGCTCTTACAAACTCTCAAATCTACTATCCTTTCCAATCCTCCTGAACCGCAAGCTCACCAACATATAGTATTTTTTCCTCAAGCAAACTCACTGAAGTCACAAACCGTCTGGAAAACGAAAACGAAACGAAACGAACCGACCTCATCCTGATATATATAACAAAATTTCTTGTTTTTTGCGGTTTTGCGGTTTTTGAATTTTTGAATTTTTGAATGTTCACAAATTTTCTAGCCCCGTCACCTAAAGGCAATGTCGCTCATATCGTGGCCTTAGTATATATATTGTGTGTGTATATCTATAATATATATATATATACGTGTGTATATATATATATCATAATGTATAGACTGTATAGATAATATTCTGTCCTATGTCCGACTATGTCCAACTGTCCAACCGCAGGTTTTCTGAGACCAAGGCCGCTAGCTCCAAGGTCGCCTGTGTTCCCAGCAGAAAGACCTGGCGCACGGCTTGGTCACGTCTGGCGCAGGTATAAACTCGAACAATGACCGGTTGAGTTTCATTTCTGTAAACCAAACAATTCATCCCAGGTCACAGTTGACCTATCTTTTGGAGTTTGAAGCTGTGTCAGTCCTGTCTAGGTTGCTCGAATAGCGCAGCATGTCGAACATATCCACAACATAGTTAAACTTGACAGTCTGCGTATAATCTATATGTATGTTGGGTACCCAAAAAAACTGGATGCATAATATGAATACGCAGTCATTCCATATAATTAATTATAATTCCAGATCTCACCAAAATAGTCTGGCTTCTCAAGGTTTCCTGCCCATTTCTTTTCCATGCATCTCCAATTCCTGATCTGAAATGTATGCATCCGAAATAAACAAGCTGAGTATAGCTGACTACAGTCCATGCCGTCGTGGTATCCAAAGTCTTGACCCCTCTCTCCCAGCATGTCTCCTTGATTTTGGTCGCTGACCACAAGCCAACAAGCATAGCGGTTGAAAATTGAAACTCCTTTAGAGCAAATCTGAGATCGAACATCCACGGTATTCTGCATGTGGAGGTGGAAAAAGCATCCGCTTTAAAAACCAAAAGTTGAAATACTTGAGAATTGAAAGTTGGGAGAGGAGAGGTGCTTGGTGGTTCGTGAACCCTGCAGTTCCCAACACATCAATGTGGACTTCTTTGAGACCAAAAAAAAACTTCATACTTGGCAAGGCTTCGCCTAGGCCTGGGGAGTTTCTTGTGTCCCCACAGGGTGATACGGCCTCTCTTGCCGCGAAAAGTCTTTACTGGTCTATGGTCCCACCTTCATTCATACTTCCCACCATAGCATGATGTGATGAGGCTCACAGTTTCACTGAAACTCGCCGAAGTTTGGAAACCCACAAGACCCGGCTTGTTCAATGTCATGCTGGAGATCCTTCATCATATCTGACAAGCCAGATCGACTTAACGGCGGCATGCCAGACCATTTCAGCGCAGATTGGTAGTAATTGGCCTCATAGCCTTGCACGGGAGCCGGCTCAACCACTAAAATCCGACCGGTCATTCTCATTTCGTCATCCAGGCAATCACCTTTGAATGACGCCTGGAATTGCATGGCATACTCTGGCCGCGTGAAATTGATAATGGCATAACCCATGTTACAGCCACGTTCTGGGCGGTACGGGATGTAGAGGAAGTCAAACTGGTGTTTGAAGCCGCGTTCAACCAGCACGGACACGAACATCTCTTGAGTGAAATATGCTGGGAGTTCCTTCACCATGAGAGTCACAACAGCTCCCCAGCTGCCAGGAGCAAAGGAGCGCACGGAGCGCACGGATGGCACGGAGGGCACGGAGGGCACCTGCAAGTTGGGGCTGATGGACTGCGGCTGGGTGCCCAACAGAACTCCATTCCTGCTAGTGGCAGATCTGCTTTGCAAGGCATTTAAAGCCCTGGCACAATCCAGATACTGTGCCAGGGACTGCTGTTGTAGCACTCGCAAATGTGCAAGACGTTCCTCGAGATGCTGTCGAAGGTTAACATCATCAACATCATCAACATCATCCATGGCTGCAAGCGGAGTGGATGTACTGGCTTCCTCTGATTCGGTGTCTGGCGATTCGCTGGGAGCTGATGTTCCTGCACCAGATCCATCAAAATTGGCCTTGCCCAAGAAACTGGGCTTCGGCACCTGCACAGCTTCCGGGCTGAACGTGCCTGGAGGACGCGTCAAGGCTGTGGCGCCTGAAACATCGAGCACCTTCATTGAGGCGCTAACGCTAAAGCACCGAGCAATAGCGCCCTCACTTAACTTGGTAGTTTGGAACTTGGAGTCTTGAGCTTCTGAGCTGCATTGTATGTTATACATGTGTTGTATTGTTTTGTATCAGAATCAGCAATCCCACAGGACGTCCCCTTTGAAACCGACCTCGGAGGATGTTTTTACAATTCCCGATGTTCTGGTGGGATCAAAAACACGACCTGAATCTCTCAGACCCCAGACTTCTGGGCTGAGGTCTGCACTGGTGCCAAGGCCACTTCCATGGGTGGCAGGGCCTGAGCAGTTGGAGGTGGCAATTGCGCAATTGCTATGTCGGCTATGTCTCCTACTTTGTTGCCAAATCTAAGATCCCACAAATGAATGGATTTATATTATTTATATTTATATATTATATACTATATTGATTCATATTCAGGGGGTAAAGGTGTGGGAAGAAGGACCACCAAGTCTGCAGTTTGCGGCTGTCTATTTGGACGTATGCCCTGTCTTCGATGGAGAAACTCAAGACTGAATACACTGAACGCCAGTGTGAAGAGATGATTGATGCTTAAACAGAACACATCAAAACCTGTGTAGAAATGCCAAGAAGAATCTCATTTCAAGAATCCTGGGGTCTGACCTTTGTACCAACCTCCTCGACGCGGAGGTAGAACGAGTACCTGACAGGTTTCAAGGGGCTGCGATTGGTACCGGAAATGCTGTATCAGCCCTGCGCTCCTACGGATCCCTATGCTTGGATGATTTGTCTGACGTTTGCGTCGTAACTTCACTTCTCATTCGCATTGCGCAACAAATGTCGGCAGGTTCAGGTTCCATGGTGTTCCACCCGCAAGTGGCATTCACATCGCTGGATCAAGGCCCACACCCACAATAGATGGCAGTTGACCAATAGGCCAAGAAGTTCACCTTGGTTCAAGGGCCACTGCGTTGGCTGAGGAGCCGAGCCAAACTGCACTATCTGACGATTACATACCATGTTCATCCATTTTCACCATGTTCACAATGTTCACCGTATTGAATATCATATTCATCTTCTTGAATCTTCTTTATTCATATCCGGCATAATCATATATAATCATGGCGAAATAGAGAAAGTCTTGCAAAGCTGTTTGTTTCCATTTCTCCAAATGCAAACAATCCAGCGAGTCAGTGCAAAGTGCTTCTTTACAGAGTCTGACACACTGCAGCTCTTCAGCCTTGCTCTGTTCTAGCAATTGATTGGATGCTCAACTAACCCCCGTGCACCTCAAAATTGGGGTCCAAATTGTCCAATCGTCCATTGCATTTCTCTCCGGTGTAGACAACTGATGCATCTGCCAAGTTGCAACCAGAAGTGCTCGAATCCTGAAGAAATCAAACATGATCTGTGCGTTTTTGTTGCGTGCTGGGTCTTGCTGCAGAACTGCTCTTTGCTCCATTCCTCCTCAAACATCTTCACATTCTGTTTTTCAAATGTTCCATGCATTGGCAATCAGACTTGGGACTAATGCAGCTTGACCCTCCCGGCTCTGCCTTCTAAAGCATCTGGATCGGAGGTCGTAGATGTCTGGCAACGTGGCCTGATCTGCATCCTGCAAACGACAGTGCTGACATGTGCGACATTCCTGGACTCCCCCGCGATTCCGGCTGTCTTTGCCTCGACTTGCTCCGGTCGACTTCCACCATCCTGCCAGGCCAACTACTGCGCAGGAGAGAACTGTCAGGGCAAATCTGATTCCAAGAGATGTTCGCCCCTCCCGTGCGCATAGAGCGAGAAGGTTGGAACATGCCATATGAACATGGTTGGACAAATGCCGGTCCAACCCATGGAAGATCTTTCAAACTCAATTTCCTGTCAGCCAAAAAGTCCTCCTGCTCAAGCAGGTATTCTCGCAGAACTTGTGTATCATAGCGGCTCGCCTCAGTTGTTATTCAAGGCCTCCCTCATCTCTGCGCAATGGCGCCAAACCGTTGCTGAGTCTTCAATACCACTTGATCTAGCTTCAAGAAAGGCTTCTAGCTGAAGCAGCTCAATCACCCCTCTGTTGCATCACCCCAAAATGTTTACAAACTTTGGGAGTTGTTGGAGATACTAGTAGTCTGTCAAGTGCCAAATCGAAACCACGTGGCCAAGTCTTCAAGATCCAGTGCTGTCTCTGACCTGGATCGGCACAAGGAGTGATCTGGTGACCTCAAACTAAACTTGGAGGCATCATGTCATTTCTTGATTTTAGGCTCAAAATATCTGGAAATCCTTTTGGGTTCTGTCAGACTGCATCCCAAAAATGTTGGGATGCCTTTTAAATATGCAGAAACTGCTCAAACTAAAGATGGCGGACTGGAAAATCTGGAAATGACCAAGGACACAGGTGTCAAGAACAGAGAAGAACTTTCAGTTTCGAGCTCCTGTCACTTGTGGTCATCTGACGTGGGCGCAAACATTTAAGCCTTGAAACAGCTTGGAACATGTCAACTGGTGAGAAGTCAACTCCCGTCTGCGCACCTGGCCATGGGCAGACTTCCCACCACACCTTCCTTTGAAGGTTTGGGAAAACCTTCTTTGAAGGTCAGGGAAACGCCCGCGGCTTGAACTGCAAAGTTTTGCAGTTTGGAAAGGAAGAAGGAAAATTAAGGTCCTCACACAACGCGCTCCTGTCTGTAGTATTTATGTGCAAAGGTAGATGGCCCGTATCTCGAGTGTACGACATAATTCATACACATGAGATTTTGCCAGATTCGCTGGAGCCAAAATGAAGTGCCCAATGGGTCAGCGAAGCACGGGAATCAAGCTGCACGAGATTGAGAGCTAGAGACGTTCAGTAAAATTAAATAGGGAAGTGGAGTAGAGGTCCTTCTCTCTGCAACTTTATTACTTTCAATAATGATGGTACATGCCTGAATGTCTAGTGAATTACTTATATATAGTGATGTATATGCCTACGGCAGGAAAACCGTACGTGCGTTTTGCTTCTTTTTTGAGTATTGCTCTTTGTCTTGGGGTTGGGGTGGGGTGGGGTGGGGGGGCATGTTAACGTTCCTTGTACTTCGTACATGATATATTGCCATGTTGCTAAGATCTCTGGGATCTTTTACTACGTTACGTGTTGCTACGCTGCTGAGATCTCTAGTGTGGGTTGGGGTCGGGGTGGGGTGGGGTGGGGGGGCATGTTAACGTTCCTCGTACTTCGTACAGGATATATTGCCATGTTAGTGTGGGTTGGGGTTGGGGTGGGGTGAGGTGGGGGGGCATGTTAACGTTCCTCAAATTTTGTACAGGATGTATTGCGATGTTGCTAAGATCTCTGGGATCGTTTACTACGTGACATGTTGCTACGCTGCTAAGATCTCTGGGATCGTTTACTGCGTTACATGTTGCTACGCTGCTGAGATCCTTGGGACTTTCTTACTACGTTACAGGTTGCTACGCTGCTGAGATCTCTGGGATCGTTTACTACGTGACATGTTGCTACGCTGAGATCCTTGGGATCGTTTACTACGTGACATGTTGCTACGCTGCTGAGATCTCTGGGATCGTTTACTACGTGACATGTTGCTACGCTGCTAAGATCTCTGGTATCGTTTACTACGTTACATGTTGCTACGCTGCTGAGATCCTTGGGACTTTCTTACTACGTTACAGGTTGCTACGCTGCTGAGATCTCTGGGATCGTTTACTACGTGACATGTTGCTACGCTGAGATCCTTGGGATCGTTTACTACGTGACATGTTGCTACAGAAGAGTGTGACAAAAATCTGCGCATCCACGTCTGATGCACATGATGTTTACCTGGATTTGTTAAAAATCAATAGATTTTGCATCCACTTTTTTTAACCCAAATTCAGTTATCCAAACTGATCGGAAGAGCATTTTATATTGTAAATTACAGGTGATTGTGACTCTCCTGGAAGCAACCAATCAAAACGCTCGCGCGGTTTCCCTTCCGCCGGGATGTATATGAAGGGGTTTTAAAATGTTTTAAGTACTTGCATATCGACGGCCAGACTTGCACCATTTTGCTTCTTCCAAGCGCTGCTCCACCCGCGCCAGTGCATCCTGAGGTGGGGATCTGCATGATGGGTTGGCTTGCAAACTTTTTCAGGGATGCCGTAGACCGTAGACAAAAGGAGAAGTTTTTGCTATTGTTTCCACTTCACCTATGGCTGAAATCACCCGTCTTCCCATTTTCTGGCAGGCCTGGACCTCCAAATCCATGAAATTTTGGGCCGCTGCAAGTGACAAATCCTGCCTGGTCGGCTCGGTAAATGTTCGAGTCATGTTCGAAGGGATGAAATCCTCCCCTGATATCCGGGCAGAAGGGGCAAAACAGAACCAGTTTCAATCGAAACACCTCACTACTTCATGACACGAAAACTACAGAAGGGTAGAGTAAAGCTCAATTAGAAGTAGCTAGGAACACTTTCCTATCAGCCTGGGGTTCGCATGTTTGAAAACCATCCAATTTTGCTGGCTTGCGGTTTGACCCCGTTTTGACCCCGCCTGGCACCTTCGAGATCACCCAAGCTTTCACGAACCAGGGCCCGGCAACGCTGTGCCACGGGATGGTTCGGTACCTTTCTGTGGATTTGGTAGCAAGACATGTCTGATAGTCGGACCGAGCTACAAAAGTGTAGCTGTGTGAATGCTGCAAACCATTTTTGAAAGAACAGGGATACACCACAGTGTGTTGTCTTGATCAGCACTCAAATGCGGTGGTAACTGCACAATGTTTCTCCGTTTCGTCAAAGCCATACTCTTCACCCGTTCCCGTTCAGTATCAGTTGGTGCCCCCGCCTCGTTCAGCACCATGGAGGCAGTGGCCTCATAGGAGAATCGTGCAGTCATCGTCGGGATATTGCAATGTGATCCTCGTTGCTTCCTACATTCACCAGGATCCCGCATCTCCCATTGGTCTCCCATTGGTCTCCCATCTTCTCTCTCAAGGCTCAGGAAATTCTGCGCCAGATCCCAAATCTTGACATGTTTCTACCACAAACATCTGCCAGTTCAGCGATGCCTCAGCTGCTTCTGGATCTATGTTTCTCTCTAAAGAGGCGGCCTGTGCCAGCAATCACTGGTCAAGGGATTGCGAGTGTTGCCTGAAAATGGAACACCCAGTGAACAATCTGCCACGAAAATCTTGATTTAGAATAACTGGAAAGAAGACTTTGATTCGGCCACCATCTCATTCCCCATTCTCCAGAATCCAAGATGAAACTCCAGGTGCTTTCAAAAATCATAGATTGGATTAATGTGCTGCCCACATAGCAACCTCTGCCCAGTGGTTGGGCCTCGCACATCAAGGTCACCCAAAGGTCTTGTGCCTGCAAGCATGATGGCAGCCACAATCAGAACGGGAACAAGCCCATTTGTTACCGGAGTCTAAATAGGAATTTGCAAGATCTCAATGTTCGTCACAGGTGTCCCCGGAACGTTTCTAATGATTTTCCCGTGACTCCGTATGGATGCAACAGCACCATCATGGCTTGGGCATTCGCTGTCTCTATTGCTTGTTTGAAAAGTGCTGCAACACTTGACACGAAGAATCAACGAGGTAGACAAGAGTGCCCAAGGTGGAAATTCTGTATATTGGGACAACATGCACAAATTCTGTCTCCGGTCTGGTGCCTTTTGAAGTCCCAAGGACTTGGTGAGTTGTGCGGCCGCCTTCCAAGCCTGTGGATTTGAACCAGAGGGTGCAAGGCTGCAAGCGAGGACAGGTATCCGAACCACTAGCCATTTATCTCATCTATATTTTACATGTGTATGCGTACACATGTACATATTGAATAAGTATATATATTTATATATTACATATCTCTATGCGCAAATGTATACGCAGATGTGTGTGTGTGTGTACATATATATATATATAATATGATTCATGATATAAGTATATATATATAAGAATTAGTATTAGTATTGTTGTTATTCTGATTATTGGTTTTATTGTTATTATTATTAGTAGTAGTATTATTATTATTATGAATATTATTAATATATATATATATATGGACTTGGGAACGTTGCAGGAAGGTTTACCAGGGAAAAATATTAATTTCTGGACATCAGTCTTTCTGCTGAGATTCGATCGTGCTTGAGAAAGAAAGCGCTCTGCCTTGATAGCATCATCGAATCTGTTCTTTTCATAGGCCTGAATTGCAAGCACCCAGCTGTTTTTGGCAGGTACTTACTGGCAGAAAACACTTCCAGCAAACCACTGTGGCAGCCACGAGTGCGTCAGTGCTGGTGTTCTACACATTCAGAATCCAGAAACATCGCACAGCTTTTTTCACCAGGGCCAGCAATGACTGGACCTACAGGTTTCAGCAGTAGTCCTGCTGCAGCATTCCTCAGCAACACTACAGGCACTGTATTGGCTAAGTTGAAACGACTTTTACACAGGTGTTCATCTACTCGTGCCACTCAGTGAACTGAAAACAGGGAACCAATTAAATATGATCTTGTGTAGTAATTAAATGGGGACTAGATTAGTCAAACCTAGTCAGCATTAAATGCGCAGCACTCAGCTCGCAAAATTCCTTCCCCAATTGGCTCATGGGTTGCGGAACCCAGCCGTCAGCTCCAAGTGTCTGCTTGCCGCCACGGGCTCCGTCCACCAGCATCCAACCGCCTGCCAAACCCGTGCCGACTTGGCCGTTTTGGGGGAAGGTGGTGCCAGTTGAGGTACCATGGAACATCACCCTGGCATCCACCAGTCAACTGCCAAAGGGTGGTCCCACCAAAACACGCTGTTGTCTCCTTACTCATAAATTCAGCTGTACCTTCAGTGTGATGCATCGGCGTCTCGAAAAGAAACATCAGCGCGCCCCTCATTCGGCACCTAAATAACTCCTAAATATCCATCTTCAAAATTCTTCAAATATGATTCATTATGATTCCATGCCTCCATGCAGCTCCACCCAGCCATCAAAGCCACGGCCGGTGCACCGCACCACTTCTCCTGGTTTCCGAGCCTGGGCTCAATGCCATTCAAAAAACATAGGAACAAAACAAAATGAACAAACAAAGTATACAAATGAAAACATGAACAAAGATGAACAAAGTATACTAATAGAGACTAATGTATACTCAACAAACAACTTCAACATACTACTTTGGCAAGGCACTCCCGTCAGTTCGGTTGCAGTGCTTGGACCCTGGAAAGGCAGGTCCGTCTGAATAGCATTCAGCTTGAAGTGCTTGACTCCATGAAAGAGGGAAAGCTGGTGGTTGAACCCTTAGGGACAGGGGGAGCAGAATGAATAAAGGAAAGTGTTCTGCTCCCACCTTCCGGACGAAGACCATTGGTGCAAAAACCACCTCGTACGCCTCATGCACCACTTCCGATGGGTGGTTTGCATCTTCTTCCCATCCCTGCGCAGGGAGTCGAAAATGCTGAACCAGGAACATGACTCCTTGAAAGGATTCCCGAAAGGAAATTGTATTTAAATGGGCTGTTCATGCTTGCCGACTCCATGCTTCATCACGGGATATTATGGGCCTCCGGCAGAATGCTGCTAAGAGCATGCAATCGCAGGCGGGGGTTCTGCAGGGCTGCAAAGATGGACAAATTGGAATCCTGGTTGGCTGAAGCAAATCAGGCTGGTGGGGAATGACAAGTCAATTGGAGGCACCAATATGGATAATATGGATAATTGATAGGATAATATATGATGACAATATGATTGAGATAAAGGATGGGATCATGCAAAGCTACGTCAGGGTTTCTTCTCGCATCTCTTGCCCTCACCATGGTGTCCGAGAGTGCGCTTCTGACATCCACACAAAACGTGTGCATGCAAAATCGCGCAAGAGAAAGCTCAAGAGCGAATCAGGATCATTGGTTTACGCGCCCAGGTTGTGTTGAGTCCTACCCCGTTCCTGCCCCACATTCCCACATGGTTTGGGCTGTGGTAGCAGCAAACATCCAGCTTGGTGCAAAGGACATACCGTCTGAAACTTGACGCATCTTGACGCCAAGAATCTACGCAGATCAGCTCTTCACACTTTGCCAAGCAAAGGGCGTCCAACAAAGCATCTTCTGCGTCTTCTTCCATACAAGGGTTCCGATGGACCTGTGATTACCAGTATGTTTGAGCAACAACATCTGTGAGAAACTCAACATGATCAGCCTTAACTTCAACATCTTTCATATCTTTGGTTTGAAACATGGTGGGGACCAAATCTGACTCAGCTCCACCAAGCTCTGCTGTTTCACCACACCTCGTTGTCAACTCCATCGTCGCGGACACCCCCAAACGATCGCTTCACGCCTTCACGGCAGCAGAAGTTCACATCCGTGTCATCGCGGTCAAATGCAGCTTGGAAGTCAAGGACTGCCTCAAGGGGGTGCAGCCATCTCCACAAACCAGTACAGTTGATGGTTCGTCCAATAGACAAAACTGGTATAGATCATATCAACCACAAGAAACATTCATGCATCTCTTGGACAATGATGGTGATATTACGGGAATACAAATAGGTTGGCGCGGGGATGATGTCAAACTTTGACCTGCTAATTTTAAAAAGCCATGCCTGACTATCATCTGTTGCCAAGTAGAGAATTTTCTGCAGCTTGGTACTCGCTGCAAAGAGTTTGCGCACCCGCATGATGTATTCAGCATTTGATGGTGCTCTTTGGGACAGCTGGCATGCAACCATTTCTGAGCAAGCAAGGCGCTTGTGCACGCCAACAATGTAAGCATCCTCACAAGGAGCAAGGGCATCAATCTACGGATTGTCCTGCCAAGTGGTCTAAGTAGTGGATATTTGGAAGGCCATGATAAGCAGCCGAACATCTTCAAGCTGCTTCGGGCTAAATTCTTGCAGGGAAAATACTGGGATGAATATGAACTTATGAAAGGACATCCACACAATCAAAGTTCCCAGCTGCCAGCTCAGCGCAAATCTGTGCCATTCCTCTGTCCAGTGACCACAAATGTCGCCCAATTTCTTCTGAATGTGCAATCTTGGTCTCAGCTCTCCTTACACAATGTCATGTCATTGGATCTCGATAGGCTGCCACGATAAGCACAATACTATGTCAGGCGGTGAACGATATTCCTCTGTCGGTTACACAAGTTGCCCCAAAAAGACTGTAAGCCCAATTCCTCTCAAATGTTATCAAGCTGCTCATGGCTGCTGCATAGTTTGAGCGCAAGAGATTCAGGTTGTCTTCCGGCAGAGACCACAAGTAGCCACGAAGCATGTTCATAAAGAGGCAGTTAATGCGGCTTGGCCTTGTTCGGGTGCCCCGAAAAAGGCATCGCGACAGAGGGGATGGGTCAAAATATGGATCCCTTTATTTTCGTGATGTTCAGTAATAGACTTAATAGACTGACATTCGAACGCCACCTCTTCTGCAAACATGGACTCAGCTCAAGACATGCTCAGGCCATCCTCTGGAATTGCAGTGGAATCAGCAGCAGAGCCTTGGGAAACGACAGTTTGCTTTCGTGCTACCAGTAGTGTGAATCCAACCAACAGCAATGGGCTCAGGACGGCTCAGGGCTCTATCCAAAGCACCAACAAAACCATCTTGGTCCAGGGAGAGACCAGTTACGTAGACAGAAAAGAATATTGATGCTCCACCATGATCACCATGGCAGAATAAATGACACCCCCATCACGCAAGAAATAAATAGAAATAATACGGTGGAAATTGCAACACGGGCACAGAAGCCCTGTGCGATCCTATGCTGCAAGTTCACTAGCCACCTGACCACTCCATCACCATCACTGGATCAGCCGCAGAAGCCATACCCAGAACGAGTGACGGCACCGCTCTGTGGGTTCAAACAAATGGCTCCAGAGGTCAAAGCCTTCAGGTCCGTACTGAAAGTGACCTGACCATTGGTCATGAGGGAATGAGGACAGCCAGGTCCAGCTAGGTAGAGTTGGCGATGACAAGACCTGTAATGGTGATCTGACATCAAAATCGCTGGCCTTCAAGTCCCTTCCTTCTCCAGTCGACCAGCACAGGCACACCTGCTTTGGTCAGCAGTAGAGCGTCACACACCTGCAAATCGATCGCAATGAGAATCGCATGGTCAGACTCTTGCAATGCTTCGTGACCCATGGGGCTAACTGTAGGAAGTATACAGTCCCTTGATCACGACGCCTATTCACATGACCTGAAAGGAATTGGAAGATCATACAAGCAACCTTCCCTTCTCTTTTTTTGTTGGGTCATTGCTACTGAAAGTTTGGGCAAAACTCAGCGAAGAAATGGCGCACCAGCCCCGGGCCACACCTGTAAGATGTTGGCAAAAAGGCCATTGTCGTGGTAGGGCGCAAAAACCGCTGTGTACTCGGTGCAGCGCAGAGCCAGGATCTTCTTGACCTGAAAATACTGCCATCCTGGTGGCTCGGAATGTAGCAGTCCCCGTACGACATTGCTTGTAGATGATTTTAGGATATCTAGTGTGGATGTTTGATGATGTTTGCCTATATACATAAAATTCCAGTCAAGGACAAACAAGTTTAGCAGCTAGCGCTGCTGCCCTCTTCCTCATTCGGGTATGTCTTGAAGCAGGAGTTTTGTGGTACGTTTTGGATGTTCTCTTCATTTTGGGGTGCGGCCGTTGACCCCTCAAATGGAAAACAGAAAATCTCTAGGTCCGGTGACCAATCCAAAGAGTTATGACCCCTTTTCAACACGTGATGCATGACTTGCCATCTCAAATCATGAAGTTCTGTTTCAGACAAGTTGCCAAAGCAAAGAACATCAACTAGTTACGGACCCAGTCCTTCATCCAGAAATGAAACAAGCTGGTCAGATCTACGAATCGCGGGTTTCTCTACATCATGCAGGCAAGATCAACTGTCTGGATCATCTCAGGTTTAAAAAGACAAAATCCTGAGGTCCAAAAAATGACTGGAAATGAAGATAAATGATTTATATATATAATCTAATATAATGACTTTCTCTTACGCAAATCCCTGGGTCTTGGGTCGTTAAGTTTTGCCAACTGCCACTTGATCATTCCAGACTGAGCGTCCATGGACAGCGAGGTCTTGCAGGCATAGGAACTCAGGGAAGGCCGACCAGCTGCACCTCAGCGGTGGCAAAGTTTAGGCAGCTGGGATGGGATTCTGATTTCACCTGGAGATGGCTTTTGAACTTTTGGGCACATATTAGAAGCCTTAACAGGCTGCTTAAGTCGCCAAACACAACAAAGGCTAGACCACATTTAAGTGATCGCTGCAAAAGATGCTACGTAGTAATTCTATTCCGGTTCAGTGGAGTCCACTGCAGTTGCAATGAACCTTGAGGGTTCAAAGGTCGACACTTTAGCAAGGTACGATGCCCAGCACTACCCACCAAAACAGTCGAGGTGCGACAGGCCTGCAGAGCATGCCGTGCGCCTGTCGGCAAAATCAGCCCATCTAGCTAGCTGGTGGATGCTGGTGTGGTCCTACAACATCCTACAACAAACGTGGAGCCGATCTGCAGAGATTTTCCTCAACAGGATCAAGAGGATGCTTGGTGTGTGGTTCGATTAAATCATTTGACACTTTAGGGCCTTTAGGGACGCCATTTTTTTAAGACTTGGAGTGAAGCACTATGTTACTACGTGTCTGCGACGGCTTTAAAGCACATCCCTCCTGTGAGCACGCTGGCGGCAACATCTGCACTTGAAATGTTGCGCAGGAATTCTCGCAAAGCATTAACCAGTTGCTGATGTTCTCCAGTTGGATCCTCCAAGCGATGGCCAAAGATTCTGCCAATGCGCATTGCTAAGGCCATCTCACCAGTCTGAAAATTGGCAAGTCCCAGTTATGAGTACACTGAGTACATGACCATATCTGGATAATATGACATGATATGACCATGTATTCTGATGTATTCTGATGTATTCTGATGATCTAAAATCTCAGTGAATGAGCAGCATCCCCCGTCCTTATTGATATCTGGCAACGCTGCCGCACAGAGCTGAACCAGGTCCTGGTGTTGATGTCGCAGTTTGGGAATAACTTGCATGGGAGGTTGGTAGTACTATGACGTATGTATGCATGCAATTGCAAATATTGTTCTACATAATCGCTTATATTCTACCATAAAAGATCATAAAAGCATATTCTACAAAAATGTGAACAAGTACTGACTCATCCCACATCACAAATTAAACACCAGACTGCAGATGACTATCCAATAAGTGAAATGTGATACCTCTGGCGTGAGCAAACTACTCAGAGCAAGAAAACATCGTGCACACAGGATACGGAATCACAGGGAATACGACCTGTACTCAGCTCATCTTGTTGAGCTTTGTTGAAATTGGCACAACTTTATGTCTCCATACTTGTCTACTTAGAGTCTACTTAGAGTCTACTGAGTCTACTTAGAGTCTACTGGTTGTTGCATGTTACAGATTGTTACAGCGGAGCTGCAGGGGGATGATCCCTCTCCTCAAAGCCCTCAGGCACCGCCATGGCTCCAGCTTTCCATGGCAATGGCAATGATTCAAAATTTGGCAATGAAAAACTTTGCAAGGAATGCAAGGCATCTAAATTGGATCCAAATTTTCTGCAGTCCCTAGCTGCCTAGCTATGCAGCTATGCCAAAGTTTGCCACTTCATGTCACTTCGGCTTCACAGTCCATCACGAAATACTTTGCTTTATGTCAGAGATTTACCTCTTGAAAGTATTTGAAAGTGATATTGCATCTGTGCTTTCAAGATGGTGTTTTATCTGAGGCTCAGTTGCGATGTCAGCAACCTTTGAGAGAGAGAGAGAGAGGAAGAGTGCATCTCAAGTGGGGAGCGCAGCACAGTATTTCACGAATCCTGTGCAAACTAACTAGCCACTTCAAAATGGCGAATGAATGGATTGAGGACGATTGGGGGAATGCCTCAGAAATCCTTAGAATATATCACAGTGGATCTCCTCATAGTAACTTTCATAACCTCCAGTCGTCGGAAACTTCCTGCCTCATCGCCCTGGTCTTTGAGGGCTTGGACCTTTGCAATGCCGCCAGCCGGACATCTTGGAAGTTCACCTTGCAGTGGCTGGGCAAATGACTTCCAATCCCAGTGCCAACCTGGGGAGTCTTACAGTTGAACCATTGAGAGCCTCCAAACAACTTCGAGATTCAATAAGATGTCAATCAATCGGCGTCCTTCATCCTTTGCATCCCTTTCTTGGTATCACCTGGTTCTCAAAAAATGTCCTCGTTTGGAGGATTCTCATGAGTGCTCAAGTGACTCACGTGTTGGAATGTGTTGGACCGTGTTGGACTGATTGGTGAAGACATGTGAAGACGTGGACCACACCGCGGCCTTGCAAGACTGGGCACCGTTCGATCACCTCCGGGCAGGAGCTCTTCGAGGCTATGCAGCAAAGTAATCCCTTCCCCCTTATATACATTGAAATGACATTGAATATCACAAATATAGGACCTGAGCCAAAAGAATAGATAGATAATGATAGATAGAGTACTAAATCAAGGTTCATGGCAGTATTCAACATTGGAGGATGGGATGATCAGTCGGAAGTCAAGTGTTGCACCCTCCCAAAGCCTTTACAAGTTTTTGCTGGGAAAGCCTTTTCTACTGTGTGCCGATGCCGAGGCATGGACGCTCTCAGCGACTGGCTCGACGACGAGAGGCTCGACGGCGAACGGCTCCCCAGCAAACGGCTCAGGAGCGAAATGGTCGTCCAGCACCCGTTCAACCAAAGGCCTCGGTACGAGTTCATGCTAAGAAATCGGGTATTGTTGCTACACGAACATACAAGTAGCATAGGAAATGATCGAAAATTAGGCCAAAGAAAGCAATGCAGAGCATCGGGTCAACCTTAAATTGAATGCGCGTGAGATGCCACTGACATCGGGCATCCTGGCACCCCGGTACCAGCCTGGCACCGCCAGAAAATGAAAGAAGCACTTCCGTTGTGCTCAGGTCATCACCCCACTTGGTCCCACGGAATCTCCGCGCAGACCGGCCAGGTGGTGGGATCCTTCAAAGCAAACAAACATAAACAAACTGGTTCGTCTCAGCTTTGATTCCTGCCCTAAATCTACTAAGGGAATCCAAAATCTATCCACATCTATCCACTTTCTCGTGCAAAATATACAGCACATAACCTTGGAGCGACTATAGGTACCGTCGTAAAAGCGCAAAAACTCATCTCATGTTCGCAACACATGCAGCAGTTTTCTGGGACATGTTTTTTCTTGCGTGTTTTTCCATATTTGGGAGCCTCCTCTGCGGTCCCATCCAAAGTCTTGGCTATCTGATCCCACTCGCTGTGAGCCCGAGGCCTCAAAATGCATGCGAGCTGGCAAGCTGGTCAGATCTTCTAAGCTTCTTGCCTACTGTGTCATTCGAGTCATTCGAGTCATTCGAGTCATTCGAGTCATTCGAGTCATTCGAGTCATTCGAGTCATTCGAGTCATTCGAGTCATTCGTGAAGTCTCACCCTTCTAAGGTCATCTAAGGTCCTCTTGCGAAAGTTCTGAAATCCTCTAAGATTCTCACTTCCCCATCACTCGTCAAGCGCTCGGAACTGGGATGAAAGAATTGTTGCTGAGCACAACATGGTTGGCTTGGTTGTTCGTCCCATTTCCTGTGGAAGTACCATCAAGTGTTTTGGTGTTGAGTCCTGCGTGTCACTCTTGAATGCTTGGCAAAACTTGTATATGTTGTTTGCATATCATTGTGTTCCATACGGAAGCGTGTAAGTGTCAGCACTACCATACAGACTGACCGTGCGAAGGAAAGTGTTTGTCAGCCTATCATCTCCATGTTTGGAAATTGTAGAAACTTCCACCTATCGTCTTTTATGTTTGTGCAAGTCTCATCTGCTCTTGAGCAGCCAGCTTCCACGCTTAAGCTCACAGTGAACACAGAAGTGCCATGACCGAAAGTATTGATGGGTGCCATGCCAAAGAACGTGCCAACGTTTTTCGCTCCTGATTTCAAGTTGGCAGGCGGACTTCAGCTCAGTTGCCACTTCCTAATGTCCCTTGCGGCGCATGGCAGCCACAGCCTCCGTCATCTCCTCTCGCTTCTTCTTGCCGCGGCGGTGGGTTCCAAGCCTCTTCTTGGCCAGCTTCAGGGCACGCTTGAAGGTGGCAGCTGAACCAATCTTCAGCAGCTCAATCATGCGCCTCTCATATGGCGCAAAGCCCACGACCTCACGGACCACCTCACGAATCAGGCCCACTTTGCCACCCTTCTTGCCCTTGCGGTAGGAAGGCTTGGTCTTCAACGGCCTTCTGGTGACAATGAAACCCTTGTTCAGGCCGGCAGCAAGGCCAGTGGAGGCCGGCTTCTCGTACCCGTCCTTCGCCATCTTCAACCTGCCGGTTGCCCTCAGGACTGCTAAGCCTTTCGAGCCAAAGCCGAAACGGATGGATAAACTTCTCATCCATGTCTTTAAGCATGCAGAAAATTACACCGGCATAGACCCCAGATAGAAAAGGTTGGAACTGATGGTTCCCAACGTGGGAACCAAAGGTTACCATGGCAAGGAACTGCCGGTTCCCAGACCTTGAAACTTACGGTTCCCAACCTGCAAACCAGAGGTTGCCATTGCAAGGAATTGCCGGTTCCCAGAAGTTAGTTTTCGAAGCTAAGCGGCTTTCATTGTAAGGAATTGCGGGTTCCCAAAGTTTGAAACTCATGGTTCCAGACCTGAAAAAGCACACGTTACCAGTGGAAGGATCTGTTGATTGCAAAAAGTTAGACCTCATGGTTCTTAATGTTGTTTTGTTTTGTTTACTGAGCCGGTAACAGAACCCTGCACAGCACCTTTGCCAGACTTCGCCACTGCAGTCTGGACAGCACCCTGCACAGCACCCTGCACAGCACCTTTGCCACCGCAGTCTGCACAGCACCCTGCACAGCACCCTCCACAGCACCCTGCACAGCACCCTGCACAGCACCCTGCACCTGCACAGCACCTTTGCCAGACTTCGCCACCGCAGTCTGGACAGCCCTGCACAGCACCCTGCACAGCACCCTGCACAGCACCTTTGCCAGACTTCGCAACCGCAGTCTGGACAGCCCTGCACAGCACCCTGCACAGCACCCTGCACAGCACCCTGCACAGCACCCTGCACAGCACCTTTGCCAGACTTCGCCACCGCACTCTGGACAACACCCTGCACAGCACCCTGCACAGTACCTTTGCCAGACTTCGCCACCGCAGTCTGGACAGCACCCTGCACAGCACCCTGCACAGCACCCTGCACAGCACCCTGCTCAAAAGTTCGCCACCGAAGACCCCACCTTTGAGAAGTAAGAACCCCTATAGCTTGCCAGCTATCTGGGGAAAAACAGAATTCCTGCACTTCAGATTGACACTTGAAAAGGGCGTCACAGGTTTTGAGGACAGTCACCTAATTACGTTGGCAAAAATCCAACAGGATGGAAATAGACCTGGGTCTTGGAATTACATGCCGGCTATTGGCCAAGCTTGTCTTCGGTAAAACTGATTCAACGCTCTCACAAAGAAATTCAAGGTTGGAACGCTCCATTAAAGCCCAGAAGGAAAGCATGTGGATATTTCAGCTCTTTGCCATGCCCTCTAAATTATCTACATTAAATATGTTTTCATGGTCTTGAAACATACCAATGCCAGGGGGAAGTCAGTTTTTTTCCTGCTCCAGTCAAGGCTTATTGGATCGCAACGGCAAAATGCCCGCATCATCAGTGCTCCTTTGGGCGGCGGTTGGCCAGAGCCACGCTTTTTAGCACTGTCATGCCCTGGATGTTTGGCACACTCAAGGTCAGCCATGGTGATCAAACTCATCATCCAAATTGAGCTTTGACCCACACACTTCTGTTTGAAGCTTCCTAATGTCCCTTGCGGCGCATGGCGGCCACAGCCTCCGTCATCTCCTCTCGCTTCTTCTTGCCACGGCGGTGAGTTCCAAGCCTCTTCTTGGCCAGCTTCAGGGCACGCTTGAAGGTGGCAGCTGAACCAATCTTCAGCAGCTCAATCATGCGCCTCTCATATGGCGCGAAGCCCACGACCTCACGGACCACCTCACGAATCAGGCCCACTTTGCCACCCTTCTTGCCCTTGCGGTAGGAAGGCTTGGTCTTCAACGGCCTTCTGGTGACAATGAAACCCTTGTTCAGGCCGGCAGCAAGGCCAGTGGAGGCCGGCTTCTCGTACCCGTCCTTCGCCATCTTCAACCCGCCGGTTGCCCTCAGGACTGCTAAGCCTTTCGAGCCAAAGCCAAAACGGATGGATAAGCTAAAACATGTCTTCAGCGTGCAAACACCCGGACGACATGAGTGTTCTGGGTAAGACTCATACACTTACATGCATCAATTACGCGTGTTGAGCATAGTCACACACAATTCAAGTGCAAGACTCATGAAGGCTCAAAAAAAGCATATCTGCTTTTCTGGCTAGGGCCTGCAGCTTGCAGTGCGCAAGTCAGTATGCGAGCAAAGCAGTCCTTCAAGCAATGACGGCCCTTTTTGCACCTGGACGGCTCTGTCATTCAGATCTCAGCCTTCCTAATGTCCCTTGCGGCGCATGGCGGCCACAGCCTCCGTCATCTCCTCTCGCTTCTTCTTGCCACGGCGGTGGGTTCCAAGCCTCTTCTTGGCCAGCTTCAGGGCACGCTTGAAGGTGGCAGCTGAACCAATCTTCAGCAGCTCAATCATGCGCCTCTCATATGGCGCAAAGCCCACGACCTCACGGACCACCTCACGAATCAGGCCCACTTTGCCACCCTTCTTGCCCTTGCGGTAGGAAGGCTTGGTCTTCAACGGCCTTCTGGTGACAATGAAACCCTTGTTCAGGCCGGCAGCAAGGCCAGTGGAGGCCGGCTTCTCGTACCCGTCCTTCGCCATGCCGGACTTCTATTTGGGGAGAGCCGTTCAAGGTGGCACCACCTGTGAGCCAAAAAGAAAGAGTGTTGAAGCATGTTGAAGCTAGATATTAAATGATATTAATATATATCAAAACTTGCAATTAGTGTCTTCTAAGGTCAGATTAGAGTCAGAGTCAAGACTGAAAAATCTTAGCCTAAATCTGCGAAATGGTCAAGGATCTTTTCAGTTGCAGCCCTTCTGACTTGTTTGCTGTTGCTTTCTTCACATCCCAGAAGTGCTGCTCGCACCGTAGTTTTCCGCGAGAGCATCCTGTACAACGGGAGTCTCCAAGCCGCGGCTTGGGCTCAGGACCTTTACGAACAAAAATTGTGGTATCCTCAACGATTTCTTCAAAAACTATCATGTCTATCATCTGTCTATCGTTGTCTATCATGCCTATCAGTTTTTCATGCTGCTCCTTTCAAACTAATCGAAACTTCGGGTGAGATTCACACCATCCAGAACTATTGCAGTTCAAGCTTAGCTTGGTCATTCGTGTGGTCATTCCAGCAACTTACAGACAGTGCTGGATTTCTCAGGATCGGGTCGATGGGTACTTCGGCGATCTGTATACAAAGCACCTCACAGAGTTGTCAAAGGGCTTCGACAACATTGCAGTTTGGCAGTTTGTGTTTTTTAAACATGTTGTGGTGACAAGTGGCATTGTCCGTGTGGGATTCCTTGCCAAGTGCTTTTTGTTTGGACAGAAACAAGTCTGAATGCGGGACTTATAGGCAAGTGATGGCAAGTGTGCCCTTTCTGCCCTCCACCCAACCTGTCAAATCCTGCACCAAAGGACAAGCCGCAGCCGCATTCAGCCAATCTCTGCCTGCAAAAGACCAGACTTCTCATAAGATTATCTCTGTACAAACAGTACATCTGAAGTGATTCTGATTCAGTCCAAGAAAACCTGCCAAACCCATCAACGATACTTCATGATGCTACATCCCAGCACAAAAAACAGCTGGGAAATGGCTGTGCCAACCGCCAATAGCCAATGACGAATAATGATGGCGCATGGCTTTAACTTCAACCTGTTCAGGTGTCAATCAACCCACAGTGAACAAGGTGGCCTGCAACCATTCACACATACATGACCGAACAATACCATGTTTACCGCCCCAGTATGGGTAGGGTGTCGTTGGACCCCTGCAAATCACCACAAGATGCACCTCCGCTTGCGTGGGTGCCAAGAATTTCTCTCCTGGTGCTGCATGACCAAACCAACCAATCCTACACTGTGGGCATAAGCCCTTTTCAATCAGTCATATGAATGACATGAATGACAAGAAAGTCCCATGCCACTGACCGTGTTTTTTCACATCATCAAACGATTGCATGAGTCACGCTGGCCTCCTCTGTGTGTTTCAGTGAAGTTTGAATGCATGGCAGACAAATACATCCCGCTTATTCCTTGTGAGTTCTTGAAAAAAAACGAATCTGTCCCTTTTGCCAGGTCACTTTCAACTTCCTGTGGAGGGATTATGGGTTTATGGAGAATCACACTGCCGCTGCATTGCATACAAGGTCCTGTCGCGCTAACCAATGGTTTGCCATCAAAGCAAACAGTGCGGGTGGCATCAGTTCTCATTTCCTGATCACACCCAGTCATAGCCAAATCCGGGGAAATCCAGCAGAGGAGACGTCCAGCACTGACGATACTCAACTAGAGTAACTAGAGATTCACCAAAACAGGCCGAATGAAGATGTCAAAGATGTCAAAGCAAAGGAAAAGTGTTTCTCAGCTGAAATTTATTGATACATTTGAGAATGTATTGGGGACCCTGAACTCCCCACAACACAACATCGTGGCCGGCACCTTCACCACCGCTTCCCAAATCTTCAATTCTTTGACCTCGGTGCAGTGGATGGGATTCCATGGGTAGGGGCTCTGGCTTTGAGAGTTTCTTCAAAATTCTGTGTGTATGTTCAACACGTTTCAAAACACCACACTTGACTTTCACCATTACAACTTTACAACTGTGACTTCATTGATGGTCCCCAACCTTCAGGCCCGTCAGTCTGGGCTGCAGACGGCTTCGGGTGTGAAAGGCGCCCAAGTGGCAGGCACACCCTGTGCACTGGCGAATTAGAGGCTCAAATAAAATAACAATGACTTGACAATAGCAACAATAAATAATAATAGTAGCCGGCCAATCTGTGGATTATCTGTCAATTGGGGGGGGTTCAGACAGTTTCAGCAAATTCAGGTCTCAATTCTGACGGTCTCAGTGACTTTAATCCTCTAGAAAGACTTCGGATATTTTAGAATTTTGCATGAATGTTGCTACGACCACACCCAGCCCTCCTCAGGCAACACTCGATCTCCAATCTTGCAGCTCTCTGGCACATTAATGAGCTCAACGACCTGACCAAAGGTGAAGACGGAGCAAGCTGGAGACCGAGCCACTGAGACACCGAAATAGATTCAGAATGATTCAGATACATAGATCCCAAAACCCGTTGGCTGATCTTTTGCCCTAAACTTATTGGTTTCCCGGGCCACCATTAAGTCGGGCCACCATTAAGTGGGGGACTCGACCGGGTAGCGACTTATGGACACATCTTATGCCTCTGGGAAAGTTGGGGGTGTTACATTTGCAAAGTGCCAGTCGGGTTGGCAACGGCTGTCAGCTAAGAACTTCTTCCAGGCCTTCTTGTCTGCACTCTTTGCACAAAGCACCATTCCATGCGAGGTGACTCCTATCCTTACATCCAGTGGGACAAGATAGGGTTGTTGCGGAGCAAACTTGAACATTGGCACTGCGCCAAGTCAGAAGTGGTTGAAACCTTGCATCACCGG